AGCTCACATGTGGGTATGCTGCACTCTCACCTGTGCAAGTATTGTCTTTCTCTCACTCGGTGATGTACCGGTTCTTTCCTGGTTGCTCCATAGCTCATATGTGTATATGCTGCCTTCTCACTTGTGCAAGTTTGGTCTTTCCTCACCTGGTGATGTGCCGGTTCCTTCGTAGTTGCTCCATAGCTCACATATGTGTATGTTGCGCTCTCACTTGTGCAAGTTGAGTCTTTCTCTCACTTAGTGATGTGGAGGTTTTTGCTAGTGGTTTGCATAGCTTCCCACAAGTGTATGTTGTAGTCTAGATTGTGAAGTTCAATCTTTTCCCCACTTGGTGATGTGTCGGTTCCTCCTCGTGCTTCCATACCTTCAAACATGTGTATGCTGTAGTTTAGCCTATGAAGTTTTGTTTTTTCTCCACTTGGTGATGTATCTGTTCTTCCTAGTTGCTTCCATAGCTTCCCACATGTGTATGTTGTAGTCTAACTTGTGCAGTTTAGTCCTTCTCTCACTTGGTGATGTGTCGGTTCTTACTAGCCGCTCCCATAACTTCAAACATGTGTATGCAGTAATCTAGCCTGTGAAGTTCAGTCTTTTCTCCACTTGATGATGTGCCAGTTCAAATCTGTTGCTTGCATAACTCTGTGTGCATGTGTAGGACAATCGCACTTGTGTTGTTAAAATTTTCTCTCACTTAAACCACCAGTGCTTGGCCAAGCTATGTGCCATTGAAAAAAATAGAGCAGAACCGTTTCTAGGCGGATGAATTTGGGCGCTCCTATAGTGACCCGTACGTTTCCTAAAATTGTGGCTTGTTAACGGGCACGACTTTTGGAAGTGTTGGCGGTTTAATGAGGTGCCAGTTCAGATCTGTTGCTTCCATAAGTCTATATGCATATGTAGGATAGTCACACTTGTGTTGTTCGGTCTTCCCCTCACTCGATGATGTGCCGGTTCAGATGTTGCTGCCTCCATAGCTCTATATGCAAGAGTAAGCCTGTTACACGTGTGCTGTTCAATCTTTTTCTCACTTAATGATGTACCGGTTCGGATCTTGAACCAGGGACCGTAGGCGGAGTAAGGATAATGCGTGATTAGGATTAGGGAGTCACTCTCTCTCTCTTGCTCTCTCCCCCCCCCTCTCTCTCTCTCTCTCTCTCTCTCTCTCTCTCTCTCTCTCTCGTCCTTTGGTCCTTTGGTCCTCTTTCCTCTACCTCTCCCATAATCTAAGTCTAAACCTTGTTCTCTTCCCACTTGGCGAGCAACTAACCTCTTCTAAAAGGGCCTTTACGAATTAGACCTCAGAAGAACACCCCAACAGTGAGGGGCCCTGTCGGCCAGAACTTAAATTCATGAGCAGCAACTCAAAAGACAAAGTTCCCTGAGGCATATGTCGCATCCATAATGATATTAAAAGTCGTTTCGAACAGTCACAAACAGGTCCTGCACGAACAGGTATCGGACACAGTTTTCAAGACTAAGTTAGGGTCATGTCTCCTCGATGAAAAGTCATGTTTGTTCGACAATAAGGCTACAGTCCCAATTTAGTCATACTCCCACGAGTCAGTCTCGATTCAGACCAGGAGTCCAAAAGACAGGCCGATGGCCCAAAGCAGCAGCAGACCATGGGGGGCCCTGTCGGCCAGAACTTAAATTCATGAGCAGCAACTCAAAAGACAAAGTTCCCTGAGGCATATGTCGCATCCATAATGATATTAAAAGTCGTTTCGAACAGTCACAAACAGGTCCTGCACGAACAGGTATCGGACACAGTTTTCAAGACTAAGTTAGGGTCATGTCTCCTCGATGAAAAGTCATGTTTGTTCGACAATAAGGCTACAGTCCCAATTTAGTCATACTCCCACGAGTCAGTCTCGATTCAGACCAGGAGTCCAAAAGACAGGCCGATGGCCCAAAGCAGCAGCAGACCATGGGAAAAGATACTGGGACACACACTTTGCAACAACGGGTATTGGGCATGAGTCCCAGGGACACTTGAGGCTGAACGCAGGCCAAGCCAGACCAGTCCAGCACTATAAAGGACTGGCCAGCCTCCCATTTGGACAGATGCTCATTTCGCATGAGAGTGTGGAAGTGTCGTGGCACTTGTGCCCTAGATGTGTGTGAGCTGCGCTAGGCTGAAGAGCAGCGTTATGTGGGAAGGAGGAGAGTGCTGGTTAGAGGGAAGGCAGCCATAGCTGAGCCAACGCTAGTTAGTATGTTAGTAAGGATAATTAGTAGGAGATGCCAGTGAGTACTATTCAAAGTAGATTGTCTCGTGATAGGGAGTGTGCATGCATGATGAGGGAGGGTAGACCAGGACTATAGACATAGAGGGAGAGAGAGAAGAAGGCAGACGAGAGAGGGGGAAGTGTGAGCTATGGTGACACTTACCTGTTAAGCGCTGTTGTTGACATGTGGCAGCTGGTACTGATGAGCGCCAAGCTTGGAACTCGTGTTGATCGAAGAAGACTTGTAATCTCTGTCCAGCGCTATACACTTTGAACTCACGATGTTCTCTCTCTAATTTTGGGTTTGATAATTGAGTTGATCTTCCTGGTTCTCATTCATTTTCTATTGGGTTTTGTGTGAGACTTCGCAAACTGTGAAATCGGTGTATATGCATGTGATCTGATGCACTCCAGCAAGTGATGAACAGTCGGGTTCCTTGCAAATTTGGTATTGGAGCAGAACTTGTTACTCTCACTGGACGCGCGAGCATGATCAAGGCCGGCGAGAAGGATAAGTTGGCTTGAGTATAGCTGGCGAGAGTTGAGGTGATGAGGTGTTGGATTGGGATAGAGGGGGAAGTTGGCCGAAGAGGAAGGGGTTAAGGAGGAGAAGTCTTACCTGCGATTGGAGCGATTGGAGCGAACGTGGAGACTTCATCAACGGTTATAAAGAAGAGAAGAACCTCTTGCCCACTTACCTCGATTGATTGCAAATCTGTGTGTCGTGTATCTCTTCCCCCTCCTCTCTGGTGGTTGCTGCTGTTGTCTGGACGAAACATGTGCCCTGGTCTGATCTGACAAATAGGACTAGAGAGTCGACATTTTGTCTTCGTGTGAAGGAAGGTTTAGTCAGGGAACTGTGTACTGCCACGTCAGAGTGTAAGTGGCTAAGAACAGGGGAAACCGTGATAAATTGGATTTGTTTTTTAAGTAAGTTCAAGTCTCTCCCAGCTACCTACTCTATCGAAAGTGACCAGTCAGACCATCAAAGGCATAAATCAGCTAAGTAACTCAACAGGCAGCAAGTAAAAAAAAAAAAAAAGTGTATTCTGCGTCTGATTAGCAAAAGTTATATTTATGAAATTCGTTATTTTAACAAGCAGCGATATCCAAACTTGAAAAAAAAAAAAAAAATCCATCCACTCGGAAAGTAGGTTAGGTTCTGGGTAGCTGCTTGGTGGGACATCGGAGGCTACCCCTGTGCTGTACCCCATCATGGACGACTATTCGATGTTCGGTATGGTGGCCCTCTCCATTCTGTTGGGACCACGGTACAACCTCTTCTTTCCCCTTGGCTTTGAGATGGTGTGCTCCTCCCATATGATGATGGGATCAGGTAAAAACGAAGCAAGGGTTGTCTGCGGGAGAACTGGCAGAAGTACATCGCCGCATGGCAGAGAAACAGAAAGAGAAAGAATTAAAGAAGAAACAGAAATAAGAAACCGTAAAGAAAATAAAGGATGAAAGAGAAAAATTAGAAAAAGAAATGAAGCTGTGTAGCACACCGAACATGTTCGGAGCTTTTACGAATGTCCAAACATGTTCGGGTGTTCGACCGAACGCCACCCGAACGTATTCGGCCGAACATATTAAAAAAAAAAAAAAAAAAACTTTGTTTTTTTGGTTTTTGATTTTTAACTAGAGTTTGGTTACGAATTTAACCACACCTCCAAGGCAAAAGATTTTTGTATTACTATTTTACGAATTTAACCACTCCATGACAGATTTTTTGGATAACTTTGTTTATTTTTTTATATATATTTTTATGTTCGCGTTCGGAGAGTTTCGGCGCTCTTTCGCGTTCGGTCCTGAACGTGTGACCGAACCCGAACACGATGCTACAGAGATATGAAGGAGAAAGAAAACTGCAGGAAGAACTGAAGGCAGAGGAAGAAGAAGAAAAAGAAATAGAACCAGAAGATGGTGAGAGATTGCACTGACGTCAGACAGAAAGAGGGGAATCCAGCAAGACTAGTGGCATCTCAATTCAGATGGAAGCCATGAATTGGCTATATCAGTTTGGACATAGGATCCCCATGTATGTTGAGTCGGAGGAGGACAAAGAATGCTTTTGTTGAGTTGCTGGCTGCAACAGAAGACACTGCAGAGAAAGAAATTCTGATTCAAGAAAAAAAAGCAAAATTAAATAATAAAATGGTGGCAGCAAAGAGGCAAGAATTTGAAGAAAAGAAAAAATTGAAAGAAGAGGGGGAGAATATTTTAAGGCAATTACAAGAACAGAAGGAGAAAACCACCTGCCTCCTATGATCGACTTTCTCTCCTCATTGATACCCTCCTCCATACCAACAAACAACTCGATACATTAACGAAAAATGTGCAGAAACTCGATAACCATCAATTTGAGTTTGAAGGGGTTTGGAACAACTTTCTGCAAAGGTCAGCACAGGAAGTTGATAGACATATAACTTGCGTAGAGAAGCTAGATGAACAACTGGCCAAGAGACTGGCAAATCCCGTCGAGGCCAAGAAAATATTAGGTGGCGGCGGAGGAGATGGAGGAGACGGAGATGGAGATGGTGGAGATGGAGACAAGAAGTGCAACAAAAAGAAACAGGGAAGTAAGGAAGATTAAGGTAAAAGTGTCGTGGATTTACACGGGCAAGAAGGAAGAAAGTGTATTGCATTGGATTGCGGCAGTCGAATCTTATGTCTATGGGCAACGCATACCATATTGGGACAGAGTCCTGATGGGTAGTTCGTGTATGGTCGGAGATGCTATGAGTTTTGCAATTTCTTTGCAGAAAGAGGCAGGTTGCCAATCCATGGTAAAATACTGCAAACACGAATTGAAGACTTCTTCAAAGCTGTTCGGGAAAGGTTTGAGGATAAAAATCTAGCCCGGAGAACCGAAATGCTGATTCTTAACATTGTGGATAGAAAGTGGAAGAGTGCGTCTGCGCTCAAGGCTACCACGGATGAACTCTTACAATGCGCTGAACATGGACTCACCCCAACTCAAATTCTGAATAACTTTGCTAGAGCACTACCTGACCCACTCTGTACTCAACTGTATCCCCGTACCAAAGAAGAGGGGATGACGTATGAGAAGTCCAGCAAGATTGCAATAGATCATGCTGGCTTCCTGGCAGAAGCAAACTATTGTCACTATTCGAAAGATCTGCAAGCGGGAAAGAAGTGGCAGAACTGCACAATCTTAGGGAATATACCTTGGAAAGACAACCTCCTTCTGACCTTTGAAGAAGGTGTTGAGACTTTCTCCTACGATCGAATAGACTATGGTCTGGAGGGAGCACCCAACGGTTCGGTAGTTCAGGAGGGGGACTACAAGGCCGTTGCAGCCTGCGGGGGAGGGGGACAAGGAAGAGGCCGTGGCCGAGGAAGAGGAGGCTGCGAACGTGGAGGAAGAGGACCCGACACCCAGAGGGGTGGTGGTGAAGGTAGCTACTACGTGGGTGGAAGGGGCAATGGTCCCTCGCAAGGTGGCCGAGGTTACAACTCCACTTGGGGAAGAGGAAGAGGCACATGGTATGGGAATTGGGACAAACCATATCCACTCCATCTTGGTTTGCCGAAAGGCAGACCTTGGGAAAAGTTGGGGATTACGGAGAAAGTATGGCAAGATAGGAAAGTTGCCGACCAATGCCTTTTGTGGTGACCCCAACCACATTGTTTCTTATTGCCCAAATGATAAGGTATCAAAAGGGAACAACCAGTAGGGGTCTCAGTTGCCTCTATAGGAACTTCGGATGTAAATAGACAGACATCCTCCCATCTGAAGGTTCCATTGGCAGAAACTGAAAAGAAAGACGGTCCCCACCTAGTTAATTGTACAGAGGTAGTAAGTGTATGTACCTCTCTAGGTGGATCCCTCGTTGGCATAGGTGATAAGTTGGCCACTCATTGCAGCGGACCAAAATGAAAAAGTGCAAGGGACAGTTAATAATTGGAGATCTAGAACTTAATAAAGTAAGAGTAGGTGGATTGGTTGATAGTGGATCAACACGCAACTATATAAGTAAGAAGGGTTTGCAAAAGATGCGTCTTGGGCTAAAAGTTAAACAACTAGATGAGCCCGTAGTAAGTAAATTAGCGAATAATAGCGAAATTGTGTTAGATAGGTGTGTTGAAGGGATTCGGACATACTTTGGGCTCGAAGCAGAGGGGAAGGTGGACGCGTTCTCCACTCTCCGACTCTCTTGGTGGAAGATAATCTCCCTTTTGACATTCTTTTAGGCATGGATTGGGGTGAAGCTGCAGATGCGGACATGAAGTTAAGGGGTCATCAGTGTTGGGTCCCTAGTCCACAGGGTGGAAAAGAAAATCCGCCTATTCCATGAATCTGGTAAGGAAAGCAGCTTGGCTCAATGTTGTATGATTGCCCCTCTGAAACAGTTTTCACCTTTGGCAGTAGCCGATGCAGATCCCAGGGGTCGATCCCTTGACCTCAGCTTACCTGTATACAGTATCTGCACAGTTCCCTGGAGTTGAACCCATGACCTGCACGATAGCCAGTGGTAAGTAGGTCGCCGTAGGTTGTAGGCTGTAGGGAGATTCGAACTGTAGACCTGTAAGGTAGGAGTCCAAGTAGAGTCCAAAGGCCTAGCTATAGTCCTTCTAGAAGGTCGGCAAGTGGTCAAGTGGTGAGTCTAAGGTAGGCACACGTTTTGAGACGAAGACAAGTGGCAAGGTCAACAGGTAGGACCTCAGTGCAACTGCACTGAGTCGACGGTACGACTGCCTACAGTCAGCAGAAGTGTCTAGAGAGTCTCAGTCCAGTCCAGCAAGTACCACAGGGGGACTGTGAGCACCAAGGGCCGATGGCAAAAGGCAGACCAACGAATTTTTGAAGTATAAATCAAGAGGCAGCGCCCAACCATTCATTCATTCCTGCGTGAGCCATGCGGAAGCGCTGCCACAGCGACTTGTGCAAGGAGGTCTGCAGATGAGCCCGGAGGACGCAGTGGGCTAGAGAGAGGGAGTTAGCATAGCGATAGGGTAGATGCAGCGACAACTGCCATAGCTGTAGTTAGTAGTGAGTGTGTGTGTGTGTGTTCGAGTGTTAGAGTGATGCGTGTGGGATATCCAGGGTGATCCAGTGTATGTGAACAGTGAGATGTTTGGGCGCTGAAGTCGCAATAGCCAATTGAGAGTGAACTCGTATCTGAAAGCCATACATCTGAGTTTTGAGTGGGCGCATTTCGCCAGTATGGTGCGTTGCTGTTTACATGCATGAAAAGTGTGTTTGCGAACGAGTCTGATTGCATTGGTATCAGAGCTGGTACCCGCTATTCCATGCGTGCCGTCGTAAGCAGGGCCTGATGCACCATAGCCGAGGTGGCAGCCGAGGGAGATAGTCCGCCATAGCGGACCTGAGGTTGAAGAAGCCGCCGCGCACCT